GAAGAACGGGGAAAGTGCTTCCTTAGGGCAGATGCAAAAACATCTGAGGGAAGCTCCTGGTTTTCAATTCCCTTTGCAGCCCCTTAGTAGGACTTAAATCCACCTCATCCCCCCTCCAACAAGCTGTGAGGAGAGGGAGGGAAAGGACCCAACAGCCTCTGCAGCCAGGCCAGGATCCAACTTCCCAGCCAAGAGGCAGGTCCAGCAAAGACTGGGAGACAGGGAAGAGGAACCTGGCCCCAGACAGCATATGGGAGTTCCTTAAAGCCAACAAAAGCAGCAGGAAAGGGAAAGCTGCCCCCTTCTCCACCCCTTACCTGGCTGCTGGGACTGCTGGGGGAGCTGCTGCGGGCGCTGGGAGCTGTAGGCCCACTGGGTGACTGAGGGGTCGGTATTGCTGGCTGGAGTTCGGGTACTGCCCGGGGGGGTAGTAAGAAACCTGAATCTATCAGGAGCAAGAAAACACAGTGGTGAGCACACAGGAGGGAGTGGGACCAAGAAAGCTGGTCCCCCAGGACCAGTTTTCTCTCTCACCTGGCCTGGCTTCTGCCGAAGGGAACCACCCAGGGCTTTGGCTCTGGCCAGCTGATGGCTCCTCGGGGAACCGCAGCCCCTTCCCGCGCCTCCCAGCCTCCTCATCCAAGCCTTTCCCAGCACAGTAGTGCAAGAGCACAGTAGGCACAACTCTCCTCACAGCTCAGGGCACAATCCTAGAGGTCATAAAGCCCTGCAGGACCCCAAAGAGAGCTTAGAGGTGTCAGCCCTGAGTCCAGCCACTGTCCCTCCCCCACCACTGAGAGCCAGGAGTGGCCTGGGGGATCCCCAGGTGAGAGCCTCGTGGGCAAAGAGGGACATGGGGCAGGAATCATCCTGTGCCTAGCAAGGGAGTCTGAGACCCGGAGCCTGGACCTCTGTGGATGCATCCATCACCAAGAAAAACGGACCCACTGCCCAGCAGCCCCGGCAGCCTGCCAGCTCTGGGGACGTCCCCTCGGGCCCATGTGTGTCCTTACTTGCTGGGGAGGCTGAATGTAGCCCTGGGGTTGCAGCACCTGTTGAGTGGGGGCCGTGTGCCCCGAGGCGGAGTAGCTGGAGGTGGGAATGGGCTGCCCAGGGGTTGCCATGATGAATCCTGTCTGCTGAGGGTGCTGGGAGATGAGGGATGACTGGAACATTGCTGAGGAAGGATCTGGGGCTTCTGTTGAGCCCTGTCGGCTGAGGCTGATCTGCCCAAAGGGGCTGCTGAGCTCGTCGGCCTGGAGTGGGATAAGGAGAAGGATGGAGCATGGTATGTGGGACAGCAGTGTGTAGGACACAGTTCTGCTGAGTGAGTGCAGACCCTTCTCCCTGCTCTGTGAGGAGCTCCCCCAGAAAAGGCCCACAGACACCAGAGTCCCAGAGCAGGACAGGGGGACATGCGAGCTGCCGGGGCCGAACGCTCAGCCGACACCGGTGACACACGAGGTCCCACGCAGGCAGGGTGACCCCAGCCGAGACACCACATCCCACAGGGCAGATCATTCCCGAAAGATCCCAGTGGAAAACGACACAAGGGCTGGCTGAGCCCACAAAGCAGCCATAGCCCCCAAACCCCAGCGCTGGCACTTCCTGAGGAGCTCTGGGCTTGGAATTTTTCTTCCCAAGCTCTCTCCAAGACCACCACTCCTGCAGTGCTCAGCCCCAGGGGGTCCCACGGCCTCAGGCATCCCACTGCAGCGCAGAGCTCCGTGAATCCCAACCCCATGGGGTCAGTGTCCAGGACATACCTGATCAGCACAAGCTCACACAACACAAACACAGCACAGAGCACAACAGACAGTGCAGAAGAGGAACTGGGGTTTATACCAGGTTGTACTGCTGGGGTGGAGAGACTGGCAAGAGGACTTGGGGGCAGGAGCTTGGAGAGTACGGAACAGGCTGCAGTGCCGGGACCGGCTACGACCAGCAGAGAAGGGAGCGGAGAGAGATCCGGGGGAAAAGGAGGGAGAGGGAAAAGGAAAGAAGTAAGGAAGGAAGGAAGAAAGGAAGGAAGGATAAGGAGGAAGGAGAGAAAGAAGGAACAACAAGGTTAGTCAAGTGAGGCAACTGCAAACACACAGAGGGGGATTGCAGGGGGCTGGGAAGCACGGAGACCGTTCCGGGGCACAGCCTGGCCGGTGGCTCTGTGGGAATTGGGAGGAGTGATGTCCAGAGGCAGCTCTTGCCCGGCAGGAACAGTGAGACGAGTTCACAAGGGGCAGCAGCAGCAGAAGAGTCACTTTCCCAAGAGTAGAAGATACAAAACCCCAGCACCACCCAGTGACCCTGCATGAGCCTAGAGTCTGCTCAAACCTCCCACCCAGTGACTCTGCTCTGCCCCAGGTCCTGCTCCAGCTCCAGACAGACATGACCTCAGGGAGACAGCCCATTCTGTGAATCCCAGAATCCCTCACAAGCAGATCCACAACCCTGGAGCCACTACAAGGCCCTTGGATGGCAGCTCCCTCCATCCTCATACAGCTGGAAACAGCCGGCAAGGAGCTGTTTCCGTTACCTGCAGTAAAAGCTCTTTGAGGAGACTCTTCCCTCCTCCCATCCTAGTCCACTGAAAACACTAAGAATCCTGGAACAGCCCAGGCTGGAAGGGACCACAGAAGACCACTTGGTCCAACCTTTCATGGGGAAGGGAGCCTTGGTATGACTATCCAGCAACCTCCCTGGCCTTTTGCACCTCGAACTCCTCCCGTGTCGCTCCAGTAGCTCACCTGGGACATCATGGGGCTGCTCATGGCTGGCTGCTGCTGGGCAGTGGGGGGGA